AGATCGATGTTTTGTCATCGCTGACGTCAGCCTATTAACTGGTTTTTACTACTAGGACCTTACAGACTAGAGACTGAACGTGTCATAAAGTTTTTGGTGTTGGGACTTGAGATAAAAACGATTTTATCCACAACAGAGAAGTACGTATTAGTATGAATACAAAGTTAATGGATCTACACAATATTCTAAACGCACGAGAAAAGATCGTATTTCCAAAATATTTCTAGTTCCAGGTAGCGATTATGCTGCTACATAGAACTGGAGTAGCGTAGTGGGTCTAAGTTATGAACTCCTTAATAAAAACGTATGCCTAACAGTGGGTCATTATTATAGTTGTAATGAATATCACTGCAATGAGACAGTTCTAAGTGAGACCTATACGTTGGTTGATTTTTAAGGATATTTATATCACAGTTATTTTGTAAAACAGCGTTAATTGTAGGGCGTAAATCATAACGTAATCATATAAATTAAAATGAAATCGGTATAACCTCGTACCCACGATTACTTCGCTAACTTAAATAGCTCTATATCACGCTTAGCATCACTTTAATTTTTTTATAACAAGGGTGTCTATTAAATTAAAACGTTTGATTTATATTCTTGTACAATATCAAAAAGTCTAATAGAGTCGTTCTACTTAAGTAAATACTATAACTTAGTAACTGCCCTCTACGACGTAGCAAATCGTAGCACATCTACGCTAACGAATCAATCACATTTTATTAACGTACAAGAATACAAATACATTTTATCTTTTCGTCATTTTGTCATTAAATCGTCATATAAAATATCTTTAATTCTATTTGACGTATTTCTGAACTCAAATTAAACTTGATTATAGAAGGTTTTAGGCTTGTCGCGAACGAAAGTATCCATTATTTGGGCTACTGCATTAGGGAGTTCATAATTACGAAGAGTTCTATAACATTAATCATTAAAGAAAGGATACTTTTGCTGCCATGGAGGAGTAACGAAACGGAGTGAAAAATTTACCTTGTATTATTAATATTGCATTTGAAAAAGCATATCGCTATATATATTTGACCCCGACTTTCATAAAAATAGAGAACATTTTAGTATTTAAATTTAGACTATATTGAATGTGTGAAAGTTTTTCCCCCCCGTGGGGCACGGGGCGAACACATTTCTGCGTCCGTTTCATTGATCCGTCCTTTAACAGGCAAGTGGTTGATCAGACTTCTGTGCCCTGCCTGACCGAAACAATTTTTAGTTTCCCTGGGATTCAAACCCAGGACCTCTCGCGCTTAACGCAATGCTAGGCAATACGTTTAACAATTCGGCTACAGAGGCGATCAATTGAATATTGAATGTAATTTGAATAAAGTTTATAAGAAAAAAACGGGTGAGTCTGAAATTTTTTTTAATGTTTCTTTTAGTCGCACTTAATAAACGTATGTTCGTAGATCTATGAGTTATCTCAACCGGAATGCGGCAAAATGCTAACATATTTGAATTAGATTAACAGAGATTAGCCAACTTCCAAATCAGCTAAAGGCTAAAGTACGGCGAATATGATAGTAATGTCAAAATACGTTTCAAAATGTGTGTTGTGTAGCCGCGATGCAGGTGTTGCGAGGACAGCTGTTATGTTACACACAATGAAATATTCAAATATAACGAGCTCGCTATTTCGCTATTTTTGGAATGTATGTTTCCATTTTCCATTTTTTTTATTGAAAAATATCGTGTGCGTTTTTAATTTATTAACATTAAATATAAAATCTAATTCTTGTTAAAATTGTAATTCTAAACAGTTAGTTAGCCTTTTGAAATATTATTTTAAAACGACTATTATGTTGCTAATTTCCCCTCAACCAAAAATGTTGATTAAATTATTATTTCAGCGTGTGGATTGCATTACCGACATTTCTAAAATCTAAGGAGATGTGAACCTAGTGACTCGTCAACGAACAGTTTGAATGATATGACTAGAAGAAAAAAACATTATTATTTGTCTCGAAAACAATGAATTATAATAATAATAATTGGTAAGTACACAATAATATTATTTTTAAAAGTTTCCTTACTAAAGTTAATTAGGATAATAATTGTATATTATAACTTTCTTATTTTTTATCTGTTAAGAAAAAGAACTTCTAAGTAGCTAAATGTACTGCAGATTCCAGCAATTTAAAGTAAAAAATGGCGAAATCTTATTTTATGGATTCCTCCATTTGCATTGCATATTCCCATCTCCGGAAAACAAAATTCAATTGCGTTTGCCTACCCTCACTTCGTAACGAAATAACCTAAAAATGATTACTGATTTTTATTGCCTTCAAAATTTTTCTTCACAAAATTATATTTTACAAGGAATTCCTATACAAGTTGCTAGTTTATGCGTTGTATGAGTTTGTACACATTATATGTGGTAGGATGTTTCTTTTCCTCAACTTTAGTATTAAACTTGTGATTAGATCTTTTATTGAATTCGTCAATGAATGAATCCAAATGAAAGTAGAATAATATTTTGAGTGACTTCTAAAATAGCAAATTGCATCTTAGCGCCGTTGCTTTCGCAGAAATGTAGTTTTGAAAACTTTCAAAGGGAGTGAACGCAAAACTTAAATTCCTTCCGCTGGAGTTCCATTTCGTATGAGAAAAATTCTTCTTTGAGCATGAAACGTTGTATGAATGTTACATATTACGAGGTGAAAATTGAAAACTAGCTTAGTGCGCGTGTTTCTGACGCTCACGCGAACTGCGGCAACACTAAATATCATTTTAGAAAAATAATGTATTAATAATCCAAATAAAGTTTAATTCATTAGTTAATTACATAAAGAAACTAGCTACATTTATAAATGCACTATAAAAATGGTTCTGTCACGAAGTTTCCGAGAGGCGAAAGTCTGAACGAATGGATTAAATTAACTTTCTATAGGAGACAAGTTTTAGTTCTCCTTACTACTTTCAATTTAAAAGCTTGTTCGCGATTTAAAAATGAAATCTAGAATTATGTGAAAATAAAAGACAATTCTTCCCACCTCTACATAAGTGGTATATTTTTTCAGATGTAATGTACTCTACCGATCCGTCCCTAACGCACGATGTACCGTAATCAGTAAAATAATTCTGAGTTCATAAAATTTGCTTAAGGCAAACAAAACAAGGCATTGTTTAGTGAAGCAACACATTTACTTACGTTTACGCAAAGGTACGCACGGGCTTACACATAATTACTGGCTTTGTAAGAGAATTTGTTTTAACGAAATCGCAAAGGTGTTGTCCTAATTAGTAAGATATTGAAGGACGTGATAACGTGAACTCGTATTTTTGCCAAGTCACTATTAAATTAACCATTAATATGATATGTCACACATTTATGATGAATACTAAAAGGTATGTCGAGTTTACGATTGACTAAAATAACTAGTCCTAAGAACAGTGGGATTGTTCGCTGGTCTTATGTAACTGCGATTGCGCTGAATTGTCAAGTAGGACATAATGTAACGCAAATGACTGGGTGGCGACAAGTGTCGGAGCTCTCAACCCTCTCTACGCTTAATGGAATGGCTCCTCGCTTCAAATTTATTTTCTAAAGATAACTTTAAGTGTTATAAACAATTCTGTCTCGAAATTCTTTCCCGTCTGATGTAACTCTAATGTAAGCTCAATAGGGTTTAACCATACAAGCTATTAACTGTCGCTACCTACTGCTGTCCCACCGCTGGACGAAGGTTTTCTCACTTTTTAGAGAGAAGTTAAAACCGTAGACTTACCACACTAGGATAATAATTTACTCATTGATTATTTTAATAAGGCGTCGATGAATAATTTATCAAATGCATATATATTAACTCACTTATATACATTTAGTTACTCAGGAATACTTCAAAATATTGCCATAAATTCTTGCTGATTAGTTTAGTTTTAGTGATACTTCCAATATTGGATCATGAAATCCTAAATCAATTTATAGTTTACAGCTCCATTTTATGTCTGTCCCAAACCTTATAAAACTGTTTCGAGAAAGGGTAAACGTGCACAGATAAAATAAGTATATCTCTACTAATAGAAGGCCATAAGGAAAGGAAGGAATAAAAGGAATGACGCGTGATTTTATTATACTCATATGATTGATGTTTGCTCTCGCTTCAAATAATGTACAGGTTAGCGATTTGAAATCCAAGCCCGAAGTTGCATAAAACTCATTTGACTGTCTACTGCGGTGTTTATGTAATAAACACTTTAACTACGTAAAATGTTTCACATTCGAGTAATACACAAATAAACGTACTCACCTTCAGAGACCCTATTCTTAGAACATGTACTTACTGTAAAAATACAAGAGCAATTGAAGGATTGTTTTTAGAAAAATCTCAATTCGTAGTTTTGTTGTCTGTGTTATAAAAATCTGTTTTGATTCTATAAATTAATGCAAGAGGGTCGGTTTCGGCTCCGAAGGCCTCCACTAACCTTATTAGCCTCGTTACAATAACGAAGGCGCTTGAACAACTGTTAATTTCTTAATCATATTTATTCTCTTTTGTCCTTATTGCGTTTACATTGAATACGTAATCGAATTGTTTTAAGCTTTATAACAAAATTCATAAATACTAATTTACTATATCGACTGCAGAATGGTCAATTTTTAATTAAAATTCTTTTACGTGTCACGTTTTTCATCGAAAAAAAATGTTCTTAAACCTTAAGCTGGCACTCATAATAAACAAAAAACTAAGCTGAAAAAAAATACTTGTCCGAACATACGTGGAAATGTTAAAAACAATAAAGAAAGTAGATCCCTCGTTTGCCAAATAGCCGGTAGGGTCTAAAACTAACAAGTACAACAAAGGGCCTGGCTCGGGGCGGAATTCTACCTCAATGACTTTGTATTACCCCAAAATGTAACGGTGTTGTTTTAAAGCAAAATTAAACAAAGATTACCGTTTGAATAGAGTATTATACTATATATTAATAAGTGAAGAAATAAATAAAAAAATTCTTCGATGCTTAGAAGCGATGTTAAGACCTCAAACCCACACTAGAACGGCATGGTGAGTCCAAAATGTCAAGTCCTCGCTGTTATACCAAAGTGCATTGTGTAAAATCACATAATCGTCATCGTTAATAGTATAATCCGCACTTCGTAATCGAGACCTCCCGAGTTTTAAAGCAAAATAATCAAATGAAATGCAAAACGTTAGAACTAAATCACTGATTGAATTGCGGACAGCGGTGGCCAGCTGTAATTGGAGTCCGATAGCGGTAAATTCGCCCTCGGCCAGAATAACTTCATTTACATAAAAGACGAAGGGTTTATGCCCGAGCTTCGAGGAGAACGTTGTACACATCCCCAATCTGGGGAATATTTTAGAAAACTCTATTTTATGTACGTCATCCTTAGCCAAGATCGTCATGTTCTAGTTTAATTAATCTAAATTACGTTTGGTTTACGAAATTTAGGTAGCCCGACGCGGCGGTGAGAATTTCTGCAGACCACTATGAGAAACAAAATTGATAACAAAAAGTCATGTTAATCTCCGTCAAAGGCATTTCTTTTAATTGACATTATCCCACAAATGTCAAGTCACATAAGTGTCATGCACAAGTACTCAGGTCAGGGTTACAGACAGCCTCCAATCAGATTCGAACCCGGCGCTTACGTAACGGGCTACAAAACTCGAGGTTCGCGATTTCAGCTTCGCAGAGAGAGTTGTGGCAATAAAATGTTTATTCTGCGTTACCTATAAACGTGCCTTTTTAATAGTTGCATAAAGATTTTATGCTTCGCTATAAAAGATTTCGGTATTTGAACAGCACTTGCGATGTCTAGCGTTGCACAGTTAAAGTTGTATATATTTTTAGATCTTTATATAAAAAACAGAAGTAGTCGTCTGCTAAACGATTGGCTAGAAAGAACATAAAGAACGGCGTTTTATTGTTCGATAACTTTCTAGTACTCGTACATGGCAAGAATACATTTGATTCAAAAAAAGCCCCATTAATAATGTGTTGTGTGTTTTTATTTTCTTAGCGCGGCTAATATATCTTCATTTGCTACGTAACTGCACACTTTCTCAAGCGCAAGTACCATCGACTCAATTCAAAGTGATTTCGGCCGGCATAAAATACAGCAAACGAGGAAAAGGATATAAATAAAAAGAATCGCACACGTTATGAATAAGTAACGCGGTCGGTACGCGCCTAACATAATACTGAGCCGCGCGGTTCTATGTAATCTTATGATCTGTAATTTTCAGCCGACTTCAAAAAGAACATTAATTGGCTACTCCGTTTAAGCTTTACAAAGCTTTGTATGGGAGCTCTCGAAACCTATTCGTCGAATTAACGACGAGGCTAATTTTTCAAAGTTTGTAAACTAGAAAACGAATTAAACAAATCACTTTAACATTAATTAATCATTAGTTTCATCTTGTCATTTCCATCCATGTCGGAGGGTTTTTAAAAATTCCCTAGAAACATTGTGATTAAAACTGAAACAGGTGTCCGAGTTTTTGAAAGGTCATTTTGCATGGAAGGCCTAAGTGTAATTGTTACTATGAGACTGGTTTTTAGTGTGGAGATGTTTATTTATTTTATTTTACCATTATTAAACCAACCAACTCACGATTGTATTATTAAAAATACTTTATTTTTAAGTGGAAGAAACAGTTTTTTATTTAAAATATTAATTTTATTAAACGCAATAAAACGTGTTCATAATTTCTTTGCTGGGGTAGCGAGCATAACTCTGCCTTAACTCTAACGAATAGAAAAACGCAAACGCTCTAACACACTCCAAAAAAATAGCTTCCTGTTACGACTCGCAAAGGCACTTTTATAAATCCAAGCTTCATAGAAAGACGACTTTTGTTCGTTAGATACAATGCCAACTTTCGCACTAAGTCTACGCAACTCATGAATAAGAACTCGAGTATGCAGATTGCAAATACAACACGGACTCGCGCCACGTAAAGGCTTATTTTATTTTCTCTTAGGGAATAAGTCTTATTTGACATCAAAAATAAGAAGAGAAAGAATGAAAAGCAGTAACGAAACGAAGCGTCCACGTTTTTTAACGTAGTGGAAAATTCTTCTCATTGAACGAACAGTACAAAACAATGTATTGCTTTTCCGAATCACCGCTAGCTCTTTTAAGTCTATGAAAGTTAGTTTAATTAAGCGGAAATTCGAACGTGTGCAGAAAAATTCTGTTACGAAACTTTTCCTTGTCAGAATAGAAAATGAACATTGACTAATAGGACAAAAGACTTCCATCAGTATTGTTACAATTCATGTTAGTTGAGAGATATAAGAAGAAAAGTAATAAAAATAAAATGAGTTCAATGGTAAACTAATAAATCGTGTAAGGCTTTCACGGCCATCGTTTGGCATCATTGTTCTTCAAACAAACGAGAAGCTGACATCTGATGATGATGCCGTCAGCTCGTGATGGCGAAACGTCGAGAACCCCTTCTCGCTCTTGTCAGCTGAACGGCCCGAAAAACAATGATATAATGGCAATATAAGGTAAATTGTTCCACAATCAAAGGAGCACTATTATAGCTGTTCGTGAATACCCTTTAAATAAATATTTGAAAAGCCTTTCAATTATTATATAGTAACTAAATTATTTGCTTCGGAAAAGCTTTTCACGCGTTCTGTGGAAAAACCGCAGCCTGCTTTATAGAAACTTAAACAAAAGCCAAGGCTTTGCGCTTTAATTCAAATAACGTAATTCCTATTCAGGAAAGTCTTAATTAATTTAAAAGTGAACATTGTGCTACAACGCACCTGGAATTTTTAAATGGCAACAACAGTGATAAAACTAGAGAGGGCGGCTTCGTATTTGTACACAGCGAGTTAAGCTTAGAACAGAATGTCGTTATTGGCTACTAAAAATTAATAATATAAAAAACTGAAAAATGAAATTGTAATTTCGAAATTAGTATTCGTGACATCTTTATTTTTTTATTCTAAGTTAATTAAGTTGTTTTTGAGTATATTTACTTTTATTTGTAGGTTCACAAATTGTGTAGCAAATTGTGTTGTCTAAAAACGAAGTAAATTTAAAAGAGTACGCAAAAAAAAGTATGGTCCGTTATTAATATCGGTTAATAAATAGTAACAGATAACTTGCAACATTTGACTTTTAACCAGATTAGATTATTTAGTGATTATTGCGTTGAATAACTCATGATAGTTGATCATAAAAGTTTTTATGTCCATTATAATTATTTAGTTATCGCAGCACATGTACCCGTGGTAACGAGCCTTGTGGAACAAAGCTATTATCCCTAAACTTGGACAATATCACTTTAGGAAGGGACACGGATTCGTTGAGAGACCCACTTATCAGTCCTTCAGAAGTTTATTCTTAAGACAACACACTTTTACTCGAATGCATCGAAGACGCATGAAAATGTTCTGAATCAAAAATACGATAACATTACAAAACAAAAAGAATGAATCCGTGAGAACGTTTTAAATAGAATAGAAATTAGCGGAATTGATGAAGTATACGCGAGTAAAATCTTTATTACAAGGATGGTCCAAGCTATCATTAAACGAAATATATTCAGCGTTGAAATAACATAAATTATAAATTCACACCTATCTGCCATTACATTCTACACCATAATATAGTGATAACTAGCGCCCTCTCGTTTTAAGATGTGAAAAATTTAAAATTTTATGCTAATCCAACTTTACTAAAGCGACATCTATCGGTTATGATAAATACTAACAAATTTCACGCATCGTGATCCGATTCAAGTTATTTCAGTATTTAAATAAATCAAAAGATGGCGTTAATGTAAATAATGTATAGGTTTTTAATATTAAATATGAATTATTGTTAAAACTTTAGATATACATATTTTTATTTATATACATATATTTGGTGCCATTGCATGCATATAAACTGCTACTGCTTACCCTCCCGGGAACAACCGTATACGTAAACTATCGTAAGGATAACAAAAAAGTTCATTCAATATTTAGTATCATCAGTATGAATAATTATTATAGAATTGTTGTACATGATGCATGCATAAGTGGAATATTTTTGTCATTATAAAGATTTGTAAGCTAATAAACAAAAAAAAAATGTTACGAATTTAATGAATGAATTTATAAATTAATTGTTTCTTTTTTAATAAATTATTGTTCGGTTTGATTAGAACACGGAACGATCTACTTCGCTTTCGCGATCTGACAATCGAGTAGTATTTGGACTAAGCGCAATTCGTCATCAACCCACCCTGATCTATGGGAATTGTCGGAAGACTCGACTCGAACTCGAACGTAACCGTAGTAGCGGTAAAGGACAGAGGTGACGGAAAATTGAACGTAGTTACCGTCAGGCGCATGCGCGCTCCCATCGACCCGCGAAAGCCTTCCCGGGTCCGCGCCACTGTCCTCCGCTCCACCGACCGGTGAGTATCATCGCGTAGTGCCGGGCCTCATACTCATAAATCGTTCATACAAAAAGGTGCATGTACCTTGCTGTGGCGCTAATCATTATTATTGCGAGTTTAGTCAAACTCCAAGTAAGTCGATTTCTTTATTACCCCAATCTCTGAAATGTTTCCTGACGCTTTCTAAAAGTTGACGCGCTCGTATGCCACTAAGAACGTCTAATGTACCAACTACCATCCATACGAGCCGCGTCACCTTTCTCCAGTGTTCAGACCTTGCACGAACCTTCACGTCTATAGCAAAGTACTTGCGAATACATCATTTGCAATTTTAAGAGCTTTCCTTGTTTATGATTTAATTATTTACTATTACTATTCTGTATCTTTGATTGTATTACGTTCTTCCAAGCCTTCTTAAAAGTTAGAAATAAGCTACCCTCTACTGAGTACGAAGTACCCACTGTGCATAACCACTTGTTGCGGGCACATTGGATGCCTGTCCTTCGATGTTACTCTTCGTTTATTATTGTAATATCTTCGAAACGGTTGGAAATGAAATGACATCATTATTAATTGGTAATTTGAATACGTAATATTAAAATGCAATTAAATTTTTCTTTTCACCGGGATTAAATATTGGTTATTTATTGATATGGAGGCCTTAATACTGTCTTCCTATACGTTAAACGTTAAAAACAAGGTATGAAAATTTCCACTCCTTTGTGCTAAAAATATATAAAATCGATATGATCCTGAATGGTAGTGCGCAAGTCCCGGTACCTAGGCAACCTAGCCGCTGAGCTCGTCTGGGCTAGTGCATACGGCGCAATTGCACTTATCGATTGAAACGCCATTTTGTACGCGGTTTATTGACGTGGTGTGATAGCATATATGCTATCGAAAGTGGCCATTTTGAGAGACAAATACTCGAACGCAGATTTATATTACGAACGTGGTTAATTACTCCGATATTTTTGGCATAGAAGGAAATATGTAATGCTTTAAACAATTAAAATCATGTTTTCATCATAGATAACTAAATCGAATTAAATGAAGTACCTAGATTTAATGCGTAGAGCTAACCCTTCGGTCAAATCTATCGAACAATCAATCAACAAATGAAATGTCAGGTTGGAGGGAAAATGTGTTTCACCGATCGACAACTTATCTCTTTTTCGATAATCAAACTTATGTACCAAGTCCCATCGACACAATTCAATGTTAAGCAACCGAGCGACGCGCTTGACTATTCAGCGATGGAGATGGTTTGAGAAAAAGTGCCACGCTACAAGTTTCCGGGAGCTTATTGTGACGATAACAACGAACTCTTTGAATTGTGGGCCCGTATAAGCTAAATTCGATATCCTGATTGTCAGATAAACGCCACTGATGGTGTCACCTCATCAATATTAAAGCCACGAACATAGTTAGGTCCGGAACGATCGATAAGTCATTTCTATTTTTACCAATTCGAACTCAAAACTTAATTTCGTAGAATTCTAGATGACTAGGTCTTAAGCAATGCTCTCCCGGGTTTGAAACCTCGGAATTAAAGATTGTTTGATGATGCCTGTGCGGAATACAACACTTCACCTGATATCGTTTCCTACTTAGATCGTTGATCAATATAATCAAATTATTTCAATATTTACTTGCTATGCTTAATGAAGACTATTCTTTTAATGATGGTAAAGTAACAGATTATATAAAGCAACATCTAACGAACTTTGTATGAAATGAAAGCTACTTTACGCCTCCTTATTTTATTGACTAGGGATGTGCGCTAAAATATCGATAAGATAGAAGAAAATATATCATATAATTTCTCAGACCTTGCATTGAATACATCATATAATAAAATATCAAATTATATCAAATTATAATTTTTAAGATGTAAGAAATTTCGTTGTCTCATCAAAGTTGGAAAATTTACCCAGTTTCACTTACTATAAAAACGATGACGAAATGTTTTAATTTACTATTTTACCTATATTCTTTTTTATAGTAAATTCAACCGGTCAGTAGGGAGACGTCGGTAATTTAATTCGAAACATAGAAAACATTTTATTTATTAAATATTCTATCGATAATTATTCAATACGCAAGTCTCTTAAAGCGGAGGACGCGCAGCGACCGTCCACCTACAATCGGCGCCCGCGCAGATAGCACAGGTGTCCCGCTCGTGCAACTACGGAGAGTGGGAGTTTAAACGAAAATATAGGACTGCTTTGCTTTATAATTTATGTGTAAGCAATGTCGTGGACAATTTTTAGTGCTAATCTGTACAACTACATAACAAAAACGAATAAATTATATCCCACAATAAATGCGAAAGTTTGTGATAATATATAGAGAAATGAATCGAAAAGTATTGTTAGCTTTTTACGCACAAACGGCTTGACGAATTTTGATAACATTTTAACTTATTTAGGCGCAAGATGGGAAATTCTAAGCTTAATAGAGTTGTTGTGAGTATTAGGTCGGAGACGATGATTTGCGACACTATTACTCATCCTAATTAAATATTACTAATGTTTGTGTATTTATCATTGATAGCCGTAAAATTAATTATTCAAGAATCATATCCACTTCACTAATTAATTGTTGCAAGCGTAGTATGAGCTCACCAATCATCATATTCACTCCTACGTTGTATTCGATTGAAAGAGTATTAAAAGTGTCGTCTGAGCCCCTTCAATTTTCTTCGGCCATAGGATAAAGGCTCCAGTATTGGCCACAATGACCATACATAATTTACTTACATGTCATTAATAAAAATCGCGATTTTTTTATAACATTAGGAAAATTTAATGCCTAAAGTGAAAAACGTTTTAGTAATAAAACATATAGAAAAGTGAAGCTTAATGTAGTTTAATAAAGAGAGTACAGTTTACAATTAACAGAGATCGTTAAACTATATAGCGTAAAAATATAATTTTAATAAAAGAAACGATACAATAGAGACACTTTTGGGTGCAAAGTTCAACTAGAATCATTAAAAAAAATCTAATTGGATGCATTTTTCTTTAAAGTAAAGAAATCATGATAGCATATAGGTATGTTATTTAAATTGTTCTTAAATGATCCGTCCTAATTGTAAGGAATATAATGGCGTTATGTAAGGTACGGTTCCATTCAGAACGCTTCATAGCAAGCGTCAAACGACGGTGATATAAATATTGACATCTGCTCGGCGGGAACGACTACACTTCGATTCTCCAAACCGAAACGTCTTCCTCGTAGATATACGAATCGATTAACATGAAAGGAAGCCGACCTAAGCGAATGCCAAAACATTTGATAGCATCTTAATCCAACAACCTACACGCGGACTTACAATGGAGTTAGGTTCATTTTTTGTTCAAACAAAAACATCTTTACAATAATGTTATGTCATGTTGAGGCGCGTATCGTTTGATTGATTTGCATCGATCGCGTTTTCTTTATCGATACGAAAATATTAGATACATTACCTAAACATAAGTATATAAAGACTAAGTCCTAAAACTATTAATTTCAATAGTTGATAATTATTTGAACTAAATTAAATACTGCTCACATCTCCAACTCACTTTTCCAATTAATTTTGACTTTAATAAAGTTTTGCTTAGAACTTTATATAACTTCAACTATTATTACTAAAGTTATACCTAGAAGAACCACATTAACTCAATTCTTGAAAGAACTTGCGAGAGATATCTATATGTTTTGTTGGTTCCTAATTTTTTAATGTTGTCAAAACATCGTTTCTACGAGTGGCTTCCGTTTAGAACATTCTCAGAGCAACAGTGAGGCGTATTGTTTATAGATTTCAGTTATAGAATTGGTTCGCTTTTCGTCATTCCTTCTTCTCTTTACAATAATAATATTCTTAAATACAATTAAAAAGACGATATAACAGAATGTTGAAACACTGAATTAGACTTAGGTTGACTATCGTCAAGCCTATAACGGTTCCCACGTCTACCGTACAGGTCATCTAAGAGAATATGGCCCCATCAACCGTTGACCAAATGTTTGTAGATGACGTTGAACTTTTTGTTTCTAAGAGATGCCAATTGCCTCATGATTAATTTTTTCAATAAACTCTCGGCAGACTTGGAGAGAGGTAAACAATTTGTTGATTAGTTATTTTAAGCACGTATTAGCATTGACCATAACATGAAAAGCTTTTCTGAATCTGTGTTACAACTGTTATGATATGTTTGTTGCAGTGCAGACATGCTCCGCCTAGAGGCTATATTATTTCTGATAAGCGCCGTCGGGACCATGGGATTCCGCCCCCATGGTTCTTTTGGGGGAGAGGTAATTTTGTCAAATAAATGGCTAGTCAGCTAGTATCAGAATTAGTGCGTATTTCAAGATGATGTCCTTTACGCAGGACCGCTACATGCTTACCGAAGCGTGGCTACGTGAGGTCGTGGATCATATGGGGAAGGACTTCAACGACGCCGCTACCTCCTACCTTGAATTCCCCCCCAACGAGCGAGCCCTCAACCTCATCGCGCGCGCCAATAAAGACATCGACCACGAACAGATCGACTACGACTCTCTTCTCGACGGCAATCCCAACCCCAGTCTACGGGACCAAGAGTATTTGCAGCACAGGTAATGAAAAAGTCATTGTCTAACAGTAAAAACTAACGGAATGTGTTGAAATGAATTTGGCATATACAATACACACTTATACAGCTGAAAGACCAAACCTAGCCCTTAGACGTGCGTTTAACTCTTTTTTTTTAGTTCACTTTGGGGCCATCAATACGTGACCGGTGGAGCCGGTGAAGGCGAACAGCGTTTGCAGCCAGCGGGAGGATTGCCAAATCGTCAAATGATAAAGACGGATGCTGTTTTGCCGGCCTACTGCAACCCGCCCAATCCTTGTCCAGTCGGATACACCGGTAACTAAGTATTCTCTTATCTCTAGACAGTAGTAAAGTTGAATGTTCATAAAACGGTGTTGTGCAGAGGAGCAAGGCTGCATCAGCGAATTCGAGAACACAGCTGCGTTCAGCCGCGAGTACCAGCTGTCGCAGCGCTGCATGTGCGACGGAGAGCACATGTTCAGCTGCCCCGATGAGGCGTCGGACCTGGAGATCCACTTCCCGGACCGCAAGAACCTCGTGGCGAAAAAGCAGAGCCCTGAAGTTAGTGAATCCTACTTTTCGCGACAGTTGAACAACATTTTGCAAACGCTCGCTGAAATCATAAAATCCCGTCGACATTCAGCGACGTTGTGTCATTGCCCATATTAAAGCCATCTGTTGTAATTAAGTAGAACTAATAGATGACTCCTATATTGTAATACGATTTTAAATAAACGCATGACTTGAAAATACCAAAAATAGTCGCCGTATTTATAAGTTGTTACGAGAAGTAAGATTTCTTTTAAGGTAAATTAATTGAGATCCGCTTTCGTTCGATTGCTTTTAATAGATCGCGAAATAACATAACTTATTCAAGATGATTTTTTAGGTGGAGAATCCTTTTTTATTCGGTGAACGTCTACCGATAGCTGCGAAAAAAGGATTCGGCGTGCATGTCTATTGATTTGTTTCAGGCGGTTTCAAATAACTCTTCGGCTCTTGGTTTATTCCCACTGTCATTATTTCCCTAACGTTAAGCTAAATTAAAGAGTTAAAAAGATACAACTACACAGAACTATTTTGTATCATTTTGTCTTTTTTAGAAGCGATACAATCGTTTATTTAAACTTTTAAAGGTAAAATATATTCTGGGCCGGATTCGGTTATAGAAAGTTTCGACGTAGTGGAGTTTACGACTATAGTCTTTTAGATTACATCGATGTCTAATTGTCTATTACCACTTATACTAAGGAATCGAATGCAACCTCATAACATCGGGAAATGTTATAAACACCAAAAAAGTCTTGTTTTCTATCCAATAACGAGCAGGTTTTCGCTTCTTAGTTAAATTAACTGTATTTTGTAAATGGTCACAAATTCTAATCCGTTATTAATTACTAATATTTAAAAATATATTAACGCGACGGCGGAAACCACGGACAAAGACATGCTAATTTAAAATTAAGAAATGATTCTTACATATAATATATAAGAGACAATATATTATAATTATTAAGAGTTAACGAAACACGTTTTTTTATTATTTCTAGAATTACTGAATTAGGGTAGTATTCATATTCGGAGGCACGTAAAAACTTACATAGCTATTAAGTTGTAATAAAATCATTGATCATATTTACTAAACTACATATAATAATATGTTTATGTTGAGATTTAGGTGTACCTAACATATTGGGCCTAAGCTGAGCGAACGATGACGTCATTTAGAGTATAAGAAAGTGGGAGAACGAGGTTGCAGTTGTACAGTACATCAATACAGCATTACCCCACGAATGTAGCGTACGTAGGTGTATTTGTAATTTATTTTACGAACTTTGCAGTTATTAACACGAGTGCAATAGGAAGTACAAAGCTTAAGAAAAACAAGTGACTATCGCTAAGGCGGCAACATCCCACTTAATGTCTGATTCATTCGATTGACTCTTCTTTAAGCTTATTTCAATATAATAATCCAACTAATAAAAACTGTGCAGTATTAGGCTAGGATAATAACAATGTGGCATGCTACCACACCTCTTTTGACACGGAAAAGACGGTAACTCACTACCACAGCGTGGAAATCTAAAATGTGTGCATTAACCCCTAAAATCAAAACGATTCGAGTTGTTTATAGACATCAAATGAAATTAATGTGTAGTTACGTGTATTCTTAGTAAGTAAGTGTACAATATATTAGTCTGCAATGAAACTTATTGCAGATATTGTAAGAAATCTTGTTAATATGTCTGAAAAGCCACATTTTCATATGACTTTGTGGACGGAGTAAATCTGATTATAGTACATAGACAATGAACTCATCTAATAAATAATGTGAACGAAACCGTAAAAAGTATACTAATAACATTTCTAATTGATTACTTTTTATTGATGTAACGCTGAAGCTATTTGTAAAAGCAATATAAACTTCTATAATATTAATAAACAACAGTATAGACCCAGGTTGAATAAATTAATACATCTGCCAAAAATATTCAAAATACACATGGAATAACAAAAAAATAATATTCATAATTATATTATATTAAGCTGTAAATCATTTCGTAACGTATTCACAAAGCTATAGTGTCTCGTATAACGTAAGTGGAGATGTCATCAGAAATTAATTATAAGCTGTAATATTGTGCGTGTACCGGGATTTCTTAATATTCCCGACTTAATGCAAATTGGGTGACATACTTACATGACGATTAGTTATTTATATGGATATGTATTTAAGTACAACATATAGTCACTTGTAAGATATATTGTAATCTAGGTAGACATTTAGTTTAAGGATATTTACTTTAAGACACATTTATAAAATAAATTTTAATATTCTGGGAACGCACACTAAATATATATTTGGTATATCTCAACTTAATACGGAAGTTAAACTACTTCTATAGAGTTTAGTGTTAATTTTCCGTGTTGGGGCGGAACAGAATACTACCCCCAACCCCACGTCAGGAGAAAAGGGTGTCGTAAGAGGCGACTAAACCTGACCGAGGTGGTAGGACTGTACGGTCTTCAATCATGCACTTGATTTATGAATTCCTGTTAATCAGTTTCACATGAAGACCCTATTTTCCTCTGGCGATGCACCACCGTCTTGATTTGCAGTTCCACCTTGGCGAGCAATCAAGAAAGCCACTGTACACATTAATTTTTACCTTAAACTTTTGAGATAAATCACTTATACGAAAATTAGGTAGAATTAGTACTGAGTTGCTATGCAATCTTTTTTTTTAATTTAAAACCCTAAATATGTCTTCCTTAGTAATTACAGATATATATTAGTTTATAATCAAGAATTACTTTAACTATGCTGTAAATGTGACACTTTTTATGAACATAACCCAACCCGACCCGACGTCCAGGCGTCTTCTAAAATTTAAAAGTAATAATAAAACAACGAGCTGTTCGTATCCAGTGTCACATTGTCAAAGATAAAATTACTGATGTAAATATATATTTGAGAACATCAAGTACTTTAGCTAGGTTGTCAAAAGTAAAGCCGTGATAATATATAGCAAGCATATCGGAAACTATCCTTCGGGCAAAAATGCCTTTCTCCTTCATCGATGTATCTTCTTCCTCTCAAATTTATTCTACAACTGTAACTCCTACTTTCTTCTTAACTTTAACGACTTCTCTGTTCTAGATATCTTCTCTCTTCTCTTTGTTATCTGTATTAAGACATCTTATACGTATTTTTCTCTTCATCGTATACATAATTAGATCTTTTCTATCTACTAACATTATATTCTTCAATCGAAACATATAATCGTAAATTTACATAATGAAATAATATATACTATACTTATATACTTATCTCGTAATAATAAAATCTATCTATATATCATTCTCCATAATTGGTATTATGTAATGAAAATATAAGCACTTTTAAGAATATTAAAGATTAAAATAATTTTATTGCATTACGTGTAAATTGTTTAAACTATTAGATGAAAATTGTATGATCATGAATATCCCACGACTATTCAGCCCGAAAACATATTTTAAGAAATTCAAGAAGACTAATTTAAATATATATTGAATTATTTTATTAAGTGAATATATAGTTTTATTAATATGTATGTGTCCTTTCAATTTAAGGTTTTTAATTACAAATTTTTATCAGAATTATTCTAGAATCGAATCTATTGCGAATAGTCGTGGATTATTCCACTTTCAATGGAGGTGTATCTTGGCTTGTCATTGCAGTAACTTAAAGATAAGTTTTAGACCATAAGGGGATAAGTTATGTAAATATAAAATGATTTTACGAAGCGAATCTAGTCAAAACCAGTAGTGTGTACATAAGTAGGCAATTTTAAGTTCTCAAACTGAATATGTATTATATATTATCTTTCAGCTTTTCTCTTCTTTGTATTGTGTTGAATTTATTATATTTACATTAATTAATTATGACTATGTAAAGAATATAATCTAAAATTAGGTCTTCAGCTTACGTTCACTAAATTATAGCAATAGAAAAAAAATATAAAGTTATGTACTTCGTTCTCGCACCGATCTCTAGTTTGTACTTCTTCTTATAGTTTGTATATGTTTTGTAGTGCAATTAAATCGTGAATTTCAGTTCCAATATATACGCTATAGTTATTTTTCAGTATGTATACAATCTTTAGGTATAACAGTGAGTAATTAATTGTAATGAAATCTAACACCGTTTTCGAAATATTTCTCAGAGTCACCTAGTTCCTAGAAGGACACACAAAATGTATAAATAAATAAATGTTTTATAGAGATCACAATAGACTTAACTATAAACAAAAAGTACAATTTTAATGTTTATCGATTATTTGAAACTCTTATGTACAGATGCAGATAAAAGCAATATGTAGTAGGAATATTATATGACGAATAAATTGTAGCAAAAAGTAATAACAGAGGTACGGATACTTTATTAGAAATATAATTTATCGCTATATTCGTTGTCTCGGTATTTATCGCTATTATTGTGTTGTTTAGCGGTTATTTATAAGAATTGGTTTAAGTCGACGCCGTTTCTGCCTTTGTCTATATAAGAAATACAATAAGACATCTACAGTAAAAACCAAAATACCTCTAGTGTATGCAAGACGACAGACCAATATGAAATATTAATCATTGATTTAAAACAATATTTTTTGTAACAGCGTTTATTTTAGTGATTCCGTTACTGACTAAAATATTCAAAACGTTTATACAGCGTAAAGAATTCGTTATGTTTCAAGATAAATATATGTATATTGTTTATTTTTTTTTTGTTTAGAATAACTATCATCATATATTTAAACATAGACAGATAAGTACGTACTCTTTAATTGCTGTAAAAATGAATGGGATGGGATAATCAAACAAATCAATATGCTAGGAATAAGACTATATTATAATTTATGTACATTGGAAAAGGTCATGCCAAGTCTTACAAAGATGTAGTATAGAGGTCTTAATTATAGTGTATCTAATGTAATAATGTGTACATTCAAAAAGAGAGCACTTACCAAAGATTTTTCTTTTGCGAGGGTTGAACGAGCAAAAGTATAACTCTTATGAATTAATATTTTTTTCAACGCAAATGGAACGATTCGAACCTCGAACACGACCGTCAGCAAATTTGTGCATTAAAACGTGAATCCTGTATAATATTTGCTTTGTGTGTACCTTGTTAAGTGTGTGTTAATCCTACTAATTATATTTTTGCATAGGTTTCGCAAGAAAACGAAGGTTTATCGGGACGTCGGTGGTTTTATGTGTTGAACCCTAAAATTAAGTACTCCTCGATATTTTATACGATAAGGGCTGTACTTTTTGTGTGACGCGTCTTTCATCCCTCGTTTTAACGTAGGTTTTGCATTTGTTAGAGGTAATTATATATTATATGTATCTAAAAGCCCGCGAAGCGTTTCTCTCTAAAGGCGTAACCGAATCCATTATCAACCATTTCTTAAGTAGTTTGAATAACATTTAGTGTCAGCGTTTCAGAAAGTTCTCTCGCTCAATTTCTTTCCTCCTGTCTTCACTGAGATTGACCACCAATTGTTCTCTGTATTCAAAATTCACATTCATGAGGGCGTTACATTTTGTAAATTAGATATAAGATAGTTAACAATATGTACGTTTACGGTTTATATAGGTAACACCTATCGGTAAGACGAGAACAAGGTTGAATTTGCGCAGAAAAAATAACCTGGATAGCAAAAACGTTCCGATATGCCTACAAGTAATAGAGCGCTACCAAAAGTAATCGAAATTGTTTGAGATAAAACATAACACCACGTCTAGTCTAATCAACTTTGTCGTCATCTTATTGTAAGCTAAAAGAACTACGCACAGGCATCAGCACATTAGGTAATACTTAAAGTATAAATTGTAACATATAAGAACTATTTATGGGCGAGAATAGACTAAGCATTTTCAAGACTTCTCTTTTTCCATTCTTAATTTAACACGTTTTGATTGTGTAATTTAGTATTTTTGTGCCAAACGTTCTGTTCTGACGTCGTATTTCTGCGGAATATTTAGCAATTCTTCTGTGACCTCGTTGCGAATACAGTTAAAACTAAGAAGAACGAAACCATTTAAGATATATCGTGGCAGATTGGCAAATCGTAATGTAAAACTTAGCGTCAAATAAAACTTTTATCAAGCTTTAAGTTTTTGATGTTCTTATGAGGTTGCATTAGGTTTTCAACTTTCAGAAATAAATTATTACTATAAACGTGCATCAGTGGTTTTATTTAAATTCCCTATCGAAGGAAACTTAATACGAATTGCGATTTTTATTGTGCTCTGTAGTCGGTGTTCCTTAAAATATTTCATTTCGAAATCATTAATTTAAAAATATTAACTTCGCTTGTAATTATTGGGGTGACAAAATACAGATAATGTGATTATAGATTTTATTTTCATACTGCGTTTCATAACAGATAAATGTGTACAGAAAATTAAAAATATATACACATAATTCGGTGAGAAGAAAATTGTTGCTGAATGACGTCAAAGCAATAAATATAACAATTAGGTTTAATGGTTGATACAGATGAGTTACCGTGTTTTATAAATACTTAGAGCGTTTTGTTACCTAGGTAGCATTAATTAAACACGTGTGTCTGATTTGGGATGACAAACAGACGATTAAAAACTTTAGAATGCTTTAACTTTTTCGCCGGAAATTACATAACATAATAAATACTTTCAAATTATGTTTAACATTACAATACAACAAGAGTCGTGACAAAAGTGCCGCACGCGAGGGTTTAAATTGTACCTACTAAACAGGGTCGAATAAAAATCTCGAAGCAGAACTACGATTAATACAAAAAATGCTAAACTTAAAACGTACATTACAGTACGTAAATATTTTTCCTCCAAAAAGCAATTGAATGAGTTAATAATGACAAAAAAGTTATAATTGTTCCGTTTGTTGCAAGACGAATGCAACAATGATTTATCAAAACAATACACGTTCTATTGAGCTATCTATAGTAAGTAAGTATAAGTGAATGTCACTAGGTGGAATAAGTTGCGTCGGTGGCTCGAATTGGTAATTATGGATAGTTTAATGTCGACGGTATATTGATTTCGAACACGGTTAAGAAAACTAAGTATCACGTCTATGCTTTCGTCTACCCAAGTCTACTCTTCCCTTTCAAATCTACTTTTAACTGCTAAATTACCATGTAAAAAACTACATCTAATATCACATGACAAGATGACATACGATCACTAATAGTGCTCGGTTGGCGTTATAATGTACCCCGTAACGCAGCGAACACTGACTTCCACCGTCCCGTTTGCACGAATTAATTGAACCGTCAAGGTCACCAGTCACACGCATCTAGAGTCCAATTAATCAGTATCACTACAGACAATTAAAGCTCTGCTTACAATCACAGTGTTGCGAAATTGAACATCATATGCATAACGCGTATGCATCGCGTGACGTCAACTCTATTGACGTACGCGAGCACGCGAACGGAATAATGCCGGAGTGGACACCTCCCGCTGCCAGCTCACCGTCCTCACCCGGTGCTAATCGCTAGCAGAAGACCGGGCGACGACGTCACGGGCGGGCACCGCACCTCGGACGTCGTAGAACCGGCCGGACGGCCCGCCTCTGTTGTGGACGATCTAGCGTAGACTGCACTTGTCAGTTCACGCCGACCGGCAAGCACTTGCACTGTTTGATCTTCTGTAAGCGCTTTCGCTTGTAGGGCGGGTTCTGGCCGGGGCAGCGGAGGGTCACCGTGACCCAAGTGAACTTCTTCGGCTTACAAAACGAACAAGACCTGAACGCGGGCGGAGGACGTTCGTCGTCGGTCTCGCGGCGTCGGGGGCTCTTCGGAATGTAAAACGAGTTGCACTGTCCATAACAGAAGTTATTAATGACGGTCGCTTGCAAACAGCCCGGCTCGCGGATCTTTTGTATCAGCTGCTCCGTCTTGCACCAGTCTTCCTTGAGATATTCTTTTTTCGTCACGATGAGCGCGTTTTTCGAAGACTTTAATATGTTACGAAACGCCACTCCCTTAGGTATCTCGGTGGCTTCCTCCCGCTCTGGCATCGAAACCACCATCGTCTCGGAGCTGCCTTCGCCGAGTTCGTTCCTCTGAACGTAAGACGATGACGATACGTTTGCCTCCTCCGTCCGGCGTCGAGCCGCGAGCATCCTTTCCACCTGTTCGGTGTCGATAATGTCCAGAATGGAGTCGGTCGGCGTGAACGGTCTCTTGCTTCCGACGCCTGCGCTCACGCCGCAAGCGGCAAGAAACGCCGCCGCGACGAGCCAGACGCAAGACTTCGAGAACATCTCCTGCAATGAGGTGATTTACGAAATAAAACGGACCGCGCGCCGCTTAAAACCTGTGCGGGCTTCGCTCGAGAGGAAGCGGTGGACTCAACTCACGTAGTGTCGAGAGACGAGCGGCGACGTCGTAGGCAGTGCGTCGGAGTCGATGTTCGCGTGTGCGCGGGGCCGGCCGGCAGAACCGTAATGAGCGCGAGCGCCCCTCAATGGACCACGGCTCAATGAAAGAGATGACTCACGCACCGCGCCTCCATCATAGAACCGTTACTACGAGGCGTACGAACAGATGCGGCACTCTGCACGTGTTTCGACTTACCCCATACGTATTACCGGGTAAGTCGAAACGTATACGCTAACGAGGTACACAATGGGCAAATCCTTGTATTGTACTTGGGCAGCAAAATAATTAACAGTTTAGAGAAATAGATACTTTTTGTACTTGTTTGAGTTTGATTTACATTTCTCTACTAAATTTTAATTCCCGAGTATACGTCATCGTTTATTTTATAATAGCAGGATTATTCATAACACTCCACGATCGTTAAATCGACACGTGAAGGGAGATCGGAGTGGCAGTTTGTAAAATTGTAATATCTATTAATCGGTTTAGCGACGCGCTCTGGGAGTTAAGGGGCGCGGAGGCACGTCGTCGTGGTCTAATGTCGCGTCTACTTGAGACAAAATATTCGGTGAATATTTTCTCACCTATCCGTGCGGCGCCAGTGCGAAGCGCAGGCGCCACCACAGATGCTGGCTCACAATAGACTCGCTAAAAATTATTATGCTAAACTAAAGTATAAAATTTGAAACATCTACAAAAAAAAATATTTGAAAATAATTGTTACTTGAATTCCTTTTATTTGTCCAAACGAATGTCGGAGAAGTCAAAGTAAAATTAAAACCGACTGACTTATCCGTTGATAAAAGACAGTTTTAACCTATATATAGATACTTATTTATTTTAGTTATAATATTTTACGGTGTACAATTACGCATAATGCAAGATTATATATGAGTACGCCGATGTCGAAAAAGCACGAAAAGCGAATCAATCATCCCTACACTAGATCTCGGATCTCCACATTTCCGCCCATTTGTGCTTCCCACAAGGTACAATGGCTATAGAAACTTCGTGAGCGTCCCGGCCACAGCCTTCCGCGAAACGTAGGCGCGTTGCGGCGTGGGCGCACCGTACGCTCTATTGCATTTTTACAATCCAATAACGAACCCTAAATAACAATAAGCACGAAACCGGCCGCTTAACACTAATGACCAATCAATTCGGATCAATCCAACTACGACGAACAGATAACTCTGTACAGCTTACGCGAAATGAGCAGGAATATATAATTTTGATCGCTCGTTCGCGTGTTATTTCTGATATTTTGAAATTAATTTGAAACTAGTCAATAAAACATTTATAGTCCGGCTGGCGATCGTTTAATGCACCGATATGAAACTGGACTACATCCAAGCGATTGATAATACCAAACGGAGTATTTCGATTTAACACGTACGGCTTCCTATTTATGCGCGAAATGCTATCGCAGCGAGGTTCAATGGCGTAGTTATATAAGGTCTCTCTGTTTCGATACAAAAATAAGTCTGAATAATAATACAACGAACAATTTTTGTGCCTCAATAGTTCTGATCTGGATAAAAATTAATACGAAAAGAAGCAAATCATTGAAATGACATCCCCTCGCGCCACGAAGAATCGAGATTACACACTTTAATTTTCCTTAAATCTTGTTGGGAAATGTGTTAAAAGTGGGGATGACTCTTTGTGTTCGTATAATAACAACCAACGCAACTCTCATGGGGATTAAAAGTTTACTACCAAAAATGTTAATCGAAAATATCACCCGAACGATTAAAATTCCGTATCCACAAAAAGCGGCTTAAGTCCCACCAGGATATTGAACGGTGCCATTATTCAAACGCAATATATTATACGGTTGTTTGGAACTACTATGAGAAAAGGAAGTTCATTCATATTTTTTGGCTAGAGGCGCTTAAGCGTCGTAGGAATTTCATTCATCGTTTTGTTAAGGTTTTTGGAGAAAAAAAGTCGAAGGGTCTCGCCTTTAGCGACGCGCGGTCTGCTTTGTTACAAGGTATGTACAGAGTGTTTTGTTTTTTAGCAATTAGTACTCGCAAGCTATTTGTTATTAGTTGGTTGTGGTAAATTTTAAAAATACTAATATAATACACCTCGTTCTCGAAACTGGATGGTAAATGGGTGGTAGGATTATGAAAATTCCACCCGGGTCACGAACCACCGTTCATAGCAATTTCGGTTTCAGTCGGTGGATTTCCGAATATCCAAAGTCAAAATGGATCAATAGTGCATTTTGTTTAGATATTAAATGGCGCCTATTAGGACAGTGGTGATCCCCTAGCTTGGCTGTCTTCCCTTATGATTAAAAAAAAACTGAATTTATTACTTTGATTATTCGCAGTCGAAGGTAATTTTAATAATCATATTTTCTTAATAACATTTAAAAAGAAATAAGAAAAAGTAAAGGTTTTTCGACCTATCGACGGTGTTTAAGTAACAAATAATATTAAATTTTGAATGCTCAATTACTAACACCGTTACGTTTAATAACAAAGCTTATGGTTATGCCAAGCATTTTATTACACTAATTTGATAAAATTACTTTTCGGGATCAAGTCGTGTCAATAGAGCAACCTGTATCGGCGTCCAGAACGCGTGCTACCTTCAAACAATGAAATGTGTCGTAGCACGGGAAGAATGTGTTGAAAAACGGCGGCGATTCTGGGAACGACGCGGTTCGCTTCGGGACGCTAACGTCCGACGATCTGACATTTTTAACGCCTCGGAATACTTATAATAATTAAATAATTTTCCGTTATCATATTTTTTACCTTGAACCGTATTTACAGCGTACGCTGTATCTTCGCTTGTATTTGACACGATATTTTATAGCCTTCCTCGATAAATGCTCTAACCAACACAAAAATACTTTTTCCATTCGAACCCGTAATTCCTGAGATTAACGCAGTCAAACACACTAACAAACAAAACTAAATTCTTATAGTGATTCATTTTGTAGATGTAAGTAAAGCATTACTTCATAGTCCGTAGTATATCAAGAAGTACATTAGTAAGTAAGAAGAAATAAAGGTAACTCTTTTTGTTTTTTTGATGCAATCTGATCTGATCAAAGCACTCTCCCACTCGCAAGGGCTTCTTTTGTTTAAAATAATGCAACCTTAAACGGAACAGTCTGCCGTGTATACCGTGTGTAATACGATAGATTTGTACTTCGTCAGTTTTTTGTGCGATCGCTGCGCTGGCGCCGTCTGCGCATAGAGCACCGATGATCAAGTTTATAGACAAATAAACTTAGTTCCTATGTAACAATAACCTGGCGCCTCCCCGTCGCGCTTCAAATTGACGGACGACAGAGCTCCTACACTGATTAAACCGCTCGTCTCATAGCGGGCGAGTTCGGAGCTAAGAGAAAGGGTCAATTGACACAGATCATGCACCGAGTGACTCTACACTAGGTTCTATGCAACTTACTTATTACTTAAAGGACATTCGAGTACGGTCTGTAGTCCACGCGAGTACTACCTATAGGTTTATTAAATAAATCACTATTGTATATTAGTTAACTTGCTAATATATATATTATATATATAATAATAATTTCTATTTATTTAAACACGTTTCCGCTAGTACATATTTAATGCCAAACAATTAGTTAGCATTACGAATGGTATTTAGTTGTATTATTGGAAGTAAACGAAATAACAGTCGCGCACTGTCTGCCGACTGCCTCGACGTTCGATGTCCGTGGCATTCCGCTATGCAAGTGATAGTATGTGAATAGCTCTCAAAATAGACGACATTCCTTGAAGAATACTATGAAGACTCCAATATACTATTTGCATTTTATGTTCACAAATAAAATTCCGCACTATGTCCACTTATATATATATGTTCGTTGCAAAAAGCCGAATGTTATTAACAATTGTCATGATTACAACCAAGCTTAAACGTCATTGGAATTAGTTTTTTCCCTGTATGTGGTAGGGAATTCGGAGCGTAACGCAACGCATTACGTTACTGAATTATCCGATTTCAGTTTGAAGAGCGAACAATTAAGAAACGTGATCGCGGGAACAAAAAATGTTTTAAGTTTTTTTATGACATTAATTCTGTGGGACGAAGCCCCAGTGCAACGCTTAAATATTTCTTAGAAACTGCTTCGAACTAAGCGTATTTTGTAGACGTTTTGCAATGACATGGGTTGCATTTTAAAGGAACAAACGTTTTTGGTATTTCGTAGAGTCCAAAGTTACAAATTTTAATTATAATCTTACATTTGATAAAAAAAATTAAATCGAACTTTTGCGTGATGTTTATTATGTTACAAAAACTATTTTATTTTATTCTTTTTTTTGAGACCCCGCAAATGCTTAGGCAGCCTGTACAAAATACGAATATTACTTAAAGCTGAAGAGTTAGTTTGATTGTTTGTTGAACGCGCTAATCACAGGAACTACTGATTCGAATTGAACAACTAATATTTTTTGGGTTCGTTTAGTTCGTTCGAGCATTTATCGAAAACGGCTATAGGCTATAAAACATCACACTGAGACCAATAGGAGGGAAAAAATATAGGAAAATGTAGAAAAAACTAAAAAAAAACAACATCGTTGAAGGGTTTAGTTGCGTGCGATGCGAAAACAATTCAAGATACAAAAAGTAAATAAGAAAAGAGAATGATTCTTCTTTAAAAAATGTAAAAATATGTCCGCGAAAGTGTATGTGAATATTTTAAGATGATCTCGCAAGAACGATGGGACGCGGGAGGGGTCGAGAGTATCAGCTATAATTTATAAAGGGCCTCAGCTTGTTGTTTGCAAAAATAAATAATAATATAATAGCCAAAATAGCTATTCCACGCGGATTTAGTCGCGGGTACAGCTAATGCTTTATAAAGTTTTATTACAACAGTATATAAATA